AGTCTCCCCCATCTCTTGTAAAATTCAAGGGTAATCATAAAAGTTCAGGCCAATGACTCCTTCTGGAAGTGTTAAGGCAGCAGATAGTCAGCTAAAAGGGGAATGGGAATAACTTGCTTCCTCTCCTTCTCCCACTACAGCAACTAGCCAAGAAGTTGGAATGGTTTATCAAAAAGATACAGTGATCTATTGCAAAATTATTCCTCAACTTTACTGGGAATGAATCAATATAAATGTGAAGGAGTATCTTCAGATTTTACAAAGAACAGACAGCACTGTTATTTTCAAAGTCATAGCAAACAATTTTTTTTCTGAATTACAAAATGTTGTATGGAACACACTTGGTTTCATGTGCACTTTAAAAAGGCAAATAGGGATTCTATTCAAAATAGGGGAATAATGCAAGTGGATGACTCAGACTTTGAGATTTGGTTATTGGCACCCTTTACCTTCTGCAAAAGAGGAAGAAGAAGAAAGCATTTACCACACACTTTTGAAAGAATAAATTATAGCCAAAGCCAGTGCATGCAATTTGACAAGAGAAGATTCCTAATACCAGCTTTGAGCCCACTGATGCTAATTACATAAAATTATACTTCATATTAAACCTCATTGTTGCAAATAGCTCAACCACCAAGGAGGAGTAATTAAATTAAATCCAGTTGCTTAAGCATTTAACTGAATTGCAGAAACCAGGTTAGTATGGCAGCAGATTAGTTCACATTAAAAGCAGGTTATGCTGCAGTAGATGAATTTTTATTTTTTTTAAGCAGCACAACATGGGTGAGGGTTAGGGTTTTACAGTTGTCAGTGCCTACCAATGTCACTCAGGCTCAGTTATTCACCTAGACCTTTCAGCAACTTTCAGTACAACACACAGTTGTATCTTTCTAGATTGCCTGTTCAGTCTGGGAATTGGAAATACTGAACTGTAGCAGTTCCATTCTTATCTGATGAGATTCCCAGGAAAAAATTACCACAAAAATGGGAAGGCACTACAGGCATAAAAGTGAGACCATCTCTGTGTTTAAGAGAGTGTAAAACAAAAGGTTTGACTCTGTCCCTCAGCACTGTGTAACATCACTTCTTATCCTCCTGTCATCTCTCTGGTACAGCCTAACTACTATTTCATTGCTTTCTCTAGAAAAGCACCCTTCTGGAAGAAGCTCTGCTGCTCTTCCCAGAGTATTCTACAAGGCCACTGTGCTACCTTGACGAAACAATGTGAAGCTTGGTGTGCTTCTGCTTATTTTGAAAAGGTGCTAGTTTCTGGGAGAGTTTTATGGGACAGCCCAGAACAGAGCTAAGGTTGCATAGGAAAACTGTTTCCCTAGGCATTTGAGTTCAAGTCTTGTTTTGCTCCAGAAAGGTTTATCCCCTGGACACCAATAGGTTGTTTGCAGACATGGATAGAGAGGTTTGCAGCTCAAGCAAGCAGGATAACAACTCCATTAGAGCTGGGTGATGTTTTGATACATCGTCCAAAATCGGTTTGAAGTCCACATCATGATAGCGGTTTCATAATATCCAACATTGTAATATACCATAAATCACAATGTGTGTGCGCGCATGTAAAAAATCACGGTGGGAAAAACCGTGAAGCCGGTCATCGCTTCTCTCATGATTCCTGCTGCCCCCGTTATTCTGTACTTTAAAATAACAGTGGTAACAATACAGTGACACCTCTGGTTACGAACTTAATTTGTTCTGGAGGTCCGTTCTTAACCTGAAACTGTTCTTAACCTGAGGTAACACTTTAGCTAATAGGGCCTCCTGCTGCCGCCGCACGATTTCTGTTCTCATCCTGAGGTAAAGTTCTTAACCCGAGGTACTACTTCCGGGTTAGCGGAGTTTGTAACCTGAAGAGTTTGTAACCCGAGGTACCGCTGTATGTTAAAGTTAAGTAAAAATGTGTCAGATTTAGACTACCCTAAGTAGTAGCAGTTGCCAAGTAGTAGGAGTTTCCCTTTACATAGTTCCATCCTTATTTCAGACATTGTGATATATTGGAATTTTGCAATGTTTAGCTGGTGTTATGTCACGATGTTAAAAGCCAGACATTACTCAGCCCTAAACTCCATACAGTGGATCATTGAACTATGGAATTTCTTGCCTCCAAATGTGATAACCACTGGCTTAAAACAGGAGTTAAACAAAATCACAGAGGAAAGGGCTTTCAGTGGCTACTAGTGTGTCTGTTAATAGTATGTTATGACCCTTATACTATGTTCTAACCCCTAGATTAGAATCAGCATGCCTCTGAATACTAATTGTTGGGCAACAACAGTGAGAGAGAACCATGATACTCGCATCCTGTTAGTGGGCTTCCCAAGCAGCATTTGGTTGGCCAATGTAGGAAACACAATTGCAGGACTAAATTATCCAGCAAGGCTCCGTGATGCTGCATACAGATTCTCATACTCCTCTTGTTTAGGCAATAATTTTAGTAACAATTTTTAGAGGATCAACCGCCCTAGTCTTTTGCAGCAAAAACAGTCCTGTGGCACCATAAAAAAACAAGACACTTGTTTATTTAGGCAAACTTTTGGGAAGCCAAAAGATTTTTGCCTTTCTCTCTCCCCACCCCTCTTTAGAGTGCAATGTATTTTTTTCATAGTGGGTTTTGTTTTATATTGCATGCTTATAATTGCTAGATTAGCTGCCAGATTATGATGGAAAAGGCAGGATATAGGTCTTTTAAATAAACAATTCCAACATCTCCTTCCTTGTGCAACTCCAGCATGCTATTCAAAACCAGTCTTACAACTAAAGCCACAGCATTTCATGTCTGAAATGCTACATGAGAAAAGAGCAGCGCAAGATTGCAATTTTACTGCATTCTGCCTCTTTGGTTGTCATGATGTCATCTTGCATCTGCTTCGATGGCAGGCTATCATTGGAAGCCTTTGAACCTTCTGCACCTCAGTCATATAACATCAGTTGTTTTACAACAAACTGCAGAGGGAAATACAAGGAGATGTCAAAAACAGCAGGTGGAGACTCGCAGAGAAATCAGGTGGTGGAGGCAGGGCTGTTTGGTTTTTGCCAACTTCAAGCAACAGAAACCTGAAAGTAGGAGGAAATCAGACATACACAGGATAAAAAGTCCAGAGGCTTGTTAAAAACATATTGGTTGAGCTTATTGTTGGGTCATATTCAATGGTCCAAGTCTTTTGATAAGGGACATTCTAGTTACATTAGAACCACCTACATGTTGTTGTCAGACAATCAAATACAACATTACAAAAAAGTTCAAACAAGCCGGAAGGCAAGAGCCAACCCATGATTTCTTCCTTAAACCTTCCCTAATGCTGTTTTCTAGATTTATAGCGACAACTATTGCATGTTTCCAGGATCTTGCATGAAACTTCACTGCACGAGTTTAGCCAACACAAGTGATTATGAAGAATCCAAGTTTTAAACCCCCCTTTCCCCATGAAGTCTTTGGCACAACTCTCTTGTTCAAACACCTTCTGTTCCTAAGTCTATGTGGTGTAATTAAAACACTCTTACAATTTATTTCTTCATCCATTTCCCTCCCCTTTCCATTTCCTATGCTGAATTTTAGATTTTAACCTCCTTGGAGCATGGACCTGCCCTTTTTGTAAAGTACCATGGAGAGTGATGGGACAGAAACAGCTATTAAGTAGGATTATGGCTTCACAGAATGATCAAAATCCAGACAAAATTACTTTCGATTTATTATACTCAGTGTTTACATTAGTCAAAGACTGGCTATTTCGTTCTTTTAAGAGCAGAGAGCCTTTTTAAAAATCTCACCATTATTCTAAGCAAGCAACCTTTTTGTTTTCCTTATTATAAAATTATGTGCTTGTCTCCCCCTACTGGAATGCAATAAAAGCTTTCAGTAGAGATGTTTGAGCTGCGCTGGTTTTTTTTCAAGTATTTGATTGATGTTGTGGCTAATGAGAGAATTTGTAGAGAATATCGTGTTTTGTTTTGAAGTTTCCTTACCTGCTATCAGCCAGAAGTTGGAACAGTAACATGTTACTCAAAAAATCTTTGAGTCCAAGATGGGCATGAATAAAGTGAGTAGGCACCGAGCTGTACCCAAATGCATGCTGTTGTGAAATGTGTAAGAGTTGCAGATGCAGAGGAAACAGCAAAGAGGAGAAATGCAGATGAGAAGCCAGGGTAGGATAGCAGCTATGTGCTCTGGGATGGGTTAAAATGCTTTTTCTTTAAGTTGTAAAGCTTCACCGACAGCAGGAAACACCAACATGATGCCAGCCAGCATCGCCAATTCTCATGGCTTGTAGTCCCACAATATTAGAGAGAACCATGTTGGCTACCCTTTAAGGGCACTCTTGAAGAGTCCACACCTATGCAAGGTTAAGTGTAAATATGACAAACAGGTGTTTTAAGCACACTGGTAGCATGCAGGTGTACTTATGACAGAGCTAGGGTTGGCCATAACTCACTGTAAAGGCTACACGCTGTCCTTAGAGAAGCAGGTCGAGCAAAAATACTTAAGACACAAGAGTTGAACAAGCCTGCTAGGTTGTTACTGCATCCTATCCCATAACAACACACTGTCAGTAAGAATAAGGCCTGGACACTGCCTGACACGAGGGGCCCCTGGGAAAACTAATTTCCCAATGTTCTCGAAGCATAAACAAAAAGAAAAGCAGGGAAATAAAAGAGATATTCCAAAACATATGAAAGGCACCACATTGGGGAATACTGTTCTAACCTGTAGTTTAAGTCAAGGCTTGTTTAATTCTGAAGCCAATGATGGTTTTTTCTGCCCCAAGCCATTTTGTATCACACATTTTTTGTTGTGCTCCGACACTTAATGGTCTGACACTTTGGGTGTGGTGTTCAGCTGGAACAGAAATCTGAGCCCAAATCTTGAACACACGTTTCTATCTGGCGCACACACATACTTATGGACGGCATCCATTCGCTACAATTTAAGTTGGAAAACATCTTAGCACAGGGTTTTTGCTTTTTTTTAATGAAACCATTTTCGCATTTAGGACATTTTTCAAATTTTATTTGCAACTATTGCAATTACAAAGAAATATTATCAATGTAAGTTTGCATTTAAAGTGACAATCCTCTATTTCATAAACAAGGTCACAAATTAGTGAGCAGCTCATTTGGCTTTTGGGCAGCTTCCATTATATGGAAATGTTCCTGTTATGACAAACTCATTTGTCACAAATGTTTTACAGTATTTCAGTCTTGCAGTTCCTCAACATATAGTTATAAAAATCTTACTACATGATTGACATTCAGATGTATTTCTATAGCTTCTAACCACATCAATAGTTATTACCTTTACATGTGGGCAGAAAGTGAAATTCGTAGTAAGTTTTTGCTTATCCTTCACAGAACGCTCCAGAAATACACTTAAAAATTGAAAGCAATTATTTATGTTGAGAATGAAGCCTGGCTCTCCATGCTAGCATCCCTGTTCGGCCCTCAGTAGAGAGGAAAAATGCACTGCTGTAATGCCGTTTTATCAAATTTAGTCCAGTTTATTTTGAATTGTTCTCAATAAATACAAAAACATACCATCTTAGCGTGCCTTATGTGTCTGTCCTAAAAGGCTTCTGACAGGGTTAAGGTAGATTAAAAGCCAAGAATGTCAGCTTTGATAATTGTTACCTTTTGTAAAAGGTGTTATGTATTAAGCCACCACATTGAGTAACATATGGTCCCAGTCATTTGATACATACAGTTTTATCAAAATAAATAAATTCTGTATGATTTGCTGATATTAGTTGCTTAAATATGCTTTAAGCCATTGAAAGATTCAGAAACATTTATAACCTGCATGAGAGTATGGGGCAAAGGTTCCCCTCTGCTTAAGGTAGATTACGTCTTTTTTAAAAAAAATCAAAAAATCAGCCCTCATGACAATATGGAATGTCCCCAACTAATGGTAGGATGCCAATTCTGAAGTCCAAAACAAAACAGAAAGTTTAAAGCTATAAATCTCAGCTTCAGTAATGTTCATGTATCACTGCAAAACTGCTTTTGGATTTTACCAAAACAGAAACTCAAGGGGGTGTTATTTTCAACAGGAGGCTTCAACGTATAAAATAAACTTTCTAGTGTGAAAAGTTGATTTAAAGATTGCTTCTATTTAATAATAGTACCTCTTAATATATTGGACCAAAAGTTGATCAGACAACATAGCCCACACGTCTGGACATTTAGAATAAAAAAGCTTTTATTTTCAGTTGAAATAAATGCAACGTCCTGTACTTAAAGGCTGTAAAAGAGCCCTATGCATCTTCCAGGTTATACCAACTGATCAAAAGACCTCCACTGGGAAGTTACATAAAGCACTCATAATTGGTAAAGAGAAACTTTAAAAAAAAATCCATCTTCAGTACTTCTGCACTGTTTTTGTTTTATCCCTTCCCAGGTCAAAAGTTTGTAGAGATATCCCGTGTAACACAAGTTAGTTCATGGTACTGTTTTAGTCATCCTCCTCTTCCTCTTCCTCCTCTTCCTCAAAACTGTCTTCAAAACCTTCACTGTCTTCCTGGTCCTCATCTCCCTCTATTGCTGTATCCCATTGTGGATGGTTTTCTGGCACTGGTTTAGCTTCATGAACTTCCAGCTGCAAATAAAGTTTGAGAGATTGTCCAGAAAAGGATGGAAGTGAGTTAGAACACAGAGATTAATCATTTTATGTAAGTTGCTGGGGGTTACAGAATTATGAATTATGTTACAAGGCTAATAATAATAATAATACTTCAGTAACATACTTTGTACACACACAGCAAGCCTAATGATAAACAATAAACTTCAAGGGAAAGTGCAGAAGCAGAGAAGCCAAAAAACGAAGCTCAGTGACAGCCCAATGACCACAATAATTCTGTGTCCAGGGCAGCTGTCATCCAGCTCCATCTGGTACACCGGCTGAGACCCTATCTGCCCGCGGACTGTCTCGCCAGAGTGGTGCATGCTCTGGTTATCTCCTGCTTGGACTACTGCAATGCGCTCTATGTGGGGCTACCTTTGAAGGTGACCAGGAAACTACAACTAATCCAGAATGCGGCAGCTAGACTGGTGACTGGGAGTGGCCGCTGAGACCACATAACACCGGTCCTGAAAGACCATATTGGCTCCCAGTACATTTCCGAGCACATTTCAAAGTGTTGGTGCTGACCTTTAAAGCCCTAAACGGTCTCAGCCCAGTATACCTGAAGGAGCGTCTCCACCCCATCATTCCGCCCGGACACTGAGGTCCTCCTCCAAGGGTCTTCTACTGATTCCCTCAGCGCAAGAAGCAAAATTACAGGGAACCAGGCAGAGGGCCTTCTTGGCAGGGGCGCCCTCCCTGTAAAACGCCCTCCCATCAAAGATGTCAAGGAGATAAAGAATCACACAACTTTAAGAAGATGTCTGGAAGGCAGCCCTGTATCAAGAGGTTTTTAAGGCTTGGTGTTTTATGCTTTTAGATATGCTGTAAGCCGACCAGAGTGGCTGGGGAAACCCAGCCAGATGGGCAGGGTATAAATAATAAAATTATTATTACTAAGGGGCTCCGTCAGCAGGAGTCAATCAGCTTTAGCTCATATAAATGGCTCATTTACATACTACAATTATTTTTTTAAAAAGGAAAGTAGACTACTAACTAGTTCATTTTTACATCCCCGGATGTCGCACTGAAGTGGCTCTGCAAGTGACACTGCTATCCTGGATTGTATCTAACACTAGTGTAAGTGGGAGGGACACTTGCAAAAGGGAATTACTGGCACTGTCTTCCCCACTATGTTCCCCAGCATTCTTAAATAGCCCCTTGTGAGGGACCCCTGACCCCACTCCATCTGATATATCTGAATATATCTCTCTCTCTCTTGAGAGATGAATGTTTCCTACCAGTATCTTAATGCATGCAGATTGTGATCCTTTAGGTCCCAGCCAAGGAGGAACAGAAATAACTACTCTTGTAGATATGCACACAGATGTGCACTGCCGCAAGAATGAGATAAGAGGGGAAGCCTTTTGATCAAGCAGAGCTCATTTGTGGAACAAAATCTCTGGGAAAAGCTCTTCTCCCAGGCAAGAAACTACACTGCACACTTTCTGGGAAGGCACTACTTCCAGCTCCTTCTTCCAAGGGAAGTGCTATCAGTGGCGAGCAGATGCAGAATCGCTGGCCCCAAGGATATGGAATGCATTTACACAAGGAAATGCACACACCCAAACTTCTAGATCTGTTTTTGGTACCTCAAAGGCAGTTTTATCTTAGTTTTGCATTGTAAATGGCTCTATCACTGATCTGTGTGTGATTGCATTGATATGCATGTATTTGGGTGGTAAGCCAAGTTAGAGATTTTTTTTAACTTGCAGTTGTAAATGAAGTTGCAATCTTTGGATCTCGTTGCTTGTGCTTAAGCAGAACTTTGTTCCAAAGATAAACAATCCTTTGGTTAAATGAAAAACCTAACATTGATGAAGAAATCACAATTGTGGAATAGCACAAGACTGTGTACATTAAACTCTATATAGCAACAGTCACCTTCAATCTCTGCAGTGAATTTGCAAAAACTCTCCTCCCAAACCCGCAAGTGTTAAGAGAGCATACCTTCAATGGTTTAATCTGGTCCAAGCCCATGTAGGAATCTGATCTTAAATAAACCGTATATTGGTAGTTTCCAGGTTTGCCAGGTGCAGGAAACTTTAGTTCTACCTAGAGACAAAATCAATCCACAACAACATGAAGTTATAAGCAGACATTTACAAGCAGAGCTGAGAAACAGTTTTGATAAAATGAACAGAAAAGCCCAGAGTAATAATAATATTATAACAATATTTTTAAAATTCATATCCTTCCCATCTTGCTGGGTTTCCCCAGCCACTCTGGGTGGCTTACAACATATATAAAACACAACAAAGCATCAAACATTAAAAAAACAAAATATCCTATACTGTACAATCAAGAAACAAACTAATAAATCAATAAAAACCAATGGCAACAGTAACAACCATAATGGGTGCCCCATGATCCCTCAACAAGTTAAACAGGAGCCATTATTAGTTCTCTTTTATTAATGATTTGTATCTACTTTTGAGAGGTGTGGTTCCTTTCCCTTGGAAGAGAGGAGAGACATATACTTGCTGGGTTTGGGGGTGTTTTTTCAAGAATAAGAGTGTCAATGGGAATAAGTATCTTACTGCTACACCAGTGGTTCAAATAAATGTTGGAAAGTAACATGATACTTTACCTCTTCCCGATCTTTTAGTGTACACACATGATATGGCATAGATATTAGTGTTTGTTCCTTCCTATCTGCTATATATAGCCACCACCATTCTTGCTTTTCCTGTTCAGGAGAAAAATAGGGAGAACGTTAGAAAAAAAAGAAAGCAAGCCTTACCGTAGATCAGTGAAACTGAATTTTCAGTTTGAAAACTTGTGCATTTTTGTACATTCAGCAGGAGCTGCAAGCGCTTTGGTTGAATTGGCTCATCCCAAGAAAGCTTTCTTAGCTTCTTCCTCGCTGCACCTCACTGCCCTTAATATAAACCAGGGAGTCAAAATATTGCCATTTTAGGCCGTGACGTTTTTGGAAAGCACAGATGAAGTGCTAAGTTTGGGTCTCAACTATACTACTTCATTTAGATCAGGCTTCCTCAACCATGGCCCTCCAGACGTTTTTTGGCCTACAACTCCCATGATCCCTAGCTAGCAGGACCAGTGGTCAGGGATGATGGGAACTGTAGTCTCAAAACATCTGGAGGGTTGAGGTTGAGGAAGCCTGATTTAGACTGAGGGTAGAAGCTGTCAATATGGATTGCCCCTTTATGAATACAGAAAGTTGAATGTTGGGAAGGAGGGTTCTATGCCTAGCTTTCTCCTTTACAAGCTTGTCTTCTGCGTCAGAATCTTCTGCCCAATCATATGAGAGCTGCCACCTGCATTACAAAGGGATATAGATCCCTTGACTCTTCAGAGACTAGACTCCTTATTGTAAACCATTTCGATATTTTAGATCTAGTAAGTGTTACGTAAGTAGACAAAATAGTAAACTAAGAATAAATAATATACTTGGCACACCGATTTATCGCCTTACAAACTGCTTGAGATAACTAGGCCTAAATTGCCTAGATTAAACGCTAGTTAAGAAGAGAGATCTAGAGGGTTCATAACAGGGTCGTCTCCATGGCCACGCCAGTACTGCCTGTCCTGTCCGTCTTCGGTATCTATTTGCTCCTTTTAATAGTGGACTCAGGTGTTTGAGTGCCAACATGGATGAGCCAAATAGGGTCACAACAGGAACAGACAGGCATCACATGCTCAGGTGAATCGTGAAGTGTCCATTTTTACACGTACAAAGCCCCCCCTTCCCCGAAATATCCAAATAGGGATGGGGTGCTCTGTGACTTCCAGGAGTTTTAGTAGGTTGAAAAACTGAAAATGAGAGGGGAGGGAGTTAAGCTGGCCTGCTTGAGCCCACCACAAGTTATAGCGACCTCAAAGAGGATGCAGCTGGCATCCTGACCATGAGAACTCTGTTGGGGTCAATATTTCTACCTTTCGTAGAAGGGTCTGCTTGTTTCAGTTTTGTGATGCTTAATTTTGTGTAAACAAAATTCCAGTGTTTCCAATTTCCACAAAACAGATCTAACTGACATGTCTTAATTTGCACTCCCAATGGTACAAAACACTCTCTAAATAGGGATTAAAAAGAGAGCAATTGTTTTCAAAAAAAAATAAAGGCTGTTGTGTTATTAAAATATTAATCACAATGGCTAGTTCTGCACTCTAGCATGGCAGATGAACAAAGAATAAACTGTTCATATGGCAAGCCAATATTAATGAGATTGGCACAATTTTGAAGAAACAGAGCAGTCTTAAGTGTCAGACAAAACTAAGCATGTTGCCCAATATTTGGCACTGCTTGACAAGAAAGATTTAGATTTCTGTTCTAAAGGTTTCCCTTTTAAGCAGATCACTGTTAGAATAGAGTGCATGTCTGGATTAAGCTGGCACACTACCTGTGGAGTGGGCAATGCTCTTTTCAAGCAGATGGGTGGTAAACATAAGCATGCCAGGAAATCAGTATGTTTGTGGAACAATGGAATATGAGGGCAAGGTTCCACGGCAACCTGTGCAGTTCTTAGCTCCACTTATCATGAAATAGCTTATATAGTAGTATAATGAGAAGGAAGAAACAACCTCAGCAAATCCCAGCTCAACATTCTGCAGAGAGTACAACATGGAATATCTAAAGAAGTTATTGCCAAGATCCGCAGCAAAACTCAAGAGACTGCAGTTTCCTATACCACTTTACAAGAACAGCACATTGGGAACTGCTCCTGAACAAATGGGGGAACAAATGGCTGTGCATAAAGATAGCCAGGTACTGCAGTGTTTGAAGTCTTCAGGTCTCCCTTACTTTGTGAAAGCTTTTTAAAAAAGCTTTACAATATTAATTTCAGAATCAAGTCTTATACTTAAATTGGCTTTATAACTTGTCAAAGGGAGAATGATTTCAATGCAACATTATTTAGCTCTCCATCTGCTGACCTCAGGAAAGTAGAGACTGTACACAGGATGGGTTATTTTTGATTTGGTTTCCAAGAGAGCCCGTTCCTTGCGCTGTATACTCTGCTGTAATTCCTGCCACTCCTAAGGGAGAGAGAAGAGGTATTCAGCATATTTTAGAAAGTACTTTCATAACGTGGTAGGAAGTGTAGATGAATGAAAATGGGAATACAAACATCTTAATGTCACTGACAATGATGATAGGACAAAGTTTTTTGAAATCAGTTCTTACCAGTTATCATTGCCATCTTTCAATACATCCCCCAACATATTTCCTTATTACAGAAATAACCAGCTTCAGAGCTTTATATTCTGCAACCAAGGTATGGATTTTCTCCCATGTCAACAATATCCCAATATTCTTTTCCTCACCCATCAGTCCTCTCTACACTTAGAATATTATAAGCAGTAGCTTATACGTTGCTGAGACACAGTCTTCCAGAATTCTAGTTCTAGAACCAAGTGTGCACAAACTTATGCAATGCAATAATTACTATACAGTACTATCATAGCTTCTAATGCAGAGTGGAGATTTTATATGGGGAATTATACAGGAAGCTCATCCATTATCGAGACGTGCATACAAATGTGCGTGTGTGTGATTTTCCGGCATAAGAACAGTCCTGGTGAAGACCAATGGCCCATCTAATCCAGCATCTTATACTCAACAGTGGCCAGCCAGGTATCTATTGGGAGCCCACAAGCAGGACCCTAGCACAGCAGCACTCTTTCCACTTGTGATTCCTAGCAACTGCTATTCAGAAGCAGAGTGCTTCTGATACTGGAGTGCTCATCATGACTAGCAGTCTTTGATTTATTCCCTTCAACGATGCTCTTAGCTGAGAAACAGCATTTCCCCCTTTTCACAGATGCAAGAACTCTGACCGAGGGCCCTCTTAACGACAAAAAAGTTTTCCCAGTACACATGGTTATAATCAGCCGACCACCATCCTATTATTGATGTTACATGGCAATGACACCACACAATGAGAAGTGAGCCTTACAGCTTCATCATCCTTGCTTTGTTTCTCGTCTTGTTCTCTGTCGGAGTCTCTGTCGCTTCCATCATCTTTGTCACTTAAAGAGTCTCTATTAGTGTCATCTTCATCAGATTCACTCCCTTTATCAGAAACTTCATCTTCGTCTTCCTTTACAACTTCCTACAGAAAAAGGACAATCCTGTGATTACTTTAATAACAGTACTCAAGAGCTCTGACACTGATGGCATAAGATGGAACAGAAGATTTGTTCAAATACTGCACTGAATCCTTCCATTTCGTGGATGGCTTTTCAGCACTGCAGGACAAATTTGATAGGCGGGCAGGACTGCCACCTGTCAATCACTTGATGTCACAATTATGCCAAGTGATTTGGGACTTCAAAGTGCCACATGCAGTCGATGCAGTAGGCTTTAGCTCTATCACCCAACGGCTGATGGGCAGTAAAGACAAAACCTGCTTTCTCTTGCCAATGCAAAATCAGGAGCACACTTCAATACCCCCAACTGCACTGGCAGCCATGTCTCTACCTACCCTACACATGATGTCACAGATGATGTTTTGTGTGGGACAGGCAGTCATGGTTTGGAGAAAACGGCTTCACAGGCCAAAAGTGGCCCGCAGGTGAAAGGTTCCTGGCCTCGGCTACAGCAGAAGAGATGGAAGAGATGTCCATCTCTTCCAAGAACAGTTAGAAAAATCATACGAAAAGGCTGACAACTAATATTGCCTAATGAAACAAATGAAGCCATTTTATCAAATTCTATCTAAAATAAAAGTCTGATATACTGCAGTTTTTATTCATAGATAAACATATGTGTGTGTGTGATGTAATATATATACACCCCCCTGTCTCCGCTCTATGAGTCCTAGATAAGGATGGACAGCAACATTAATTTCTGTCAACTGATATAGGGGCCTGCCTTCGAATCCTGAATGACAGCATTGTTTTTCCTAACCTGAGTTTTTTCTAACCTGAGTAAGGTGATTTTACACTGCCTACAATATGCAGCTTGTTGGCTTGATTTTGACTTCTAAAAGGGCTGCCTTAAGCACTGCTCTACTTTTCCCTAGGATTTTAGTCAGTGCTCTCTGTTAGGTCCCATAGCTTAGCCGCTCCTCCCCACTCCCATCTGTGCTGATACATACACTCCCTGCTACTCCATTTGCTTGCTTTTGCTTCTGCTGCTTCGTCTGCTGAAGAGGTGCTGGTGCAGGCTTCTTTTTCACAACTTTCTTCTTCTTTGATTTTGAAGCCTTCTTTGTCCCTTTGTTCTTCTGCTGCCATCCTTTGCTCTTCGTTTTGTTAGCATCGCCTTGCTGCAAAGGAAATAAGGGTGTAACGTCAAGAGTGGACGCTTCCACATCAAGCCGCTTTCAAGTGTTTTAAAGGTTACAACCGATAACCTCAGAGCCTTTTAAGTTTGTAGCAAAGTAGCAAGCCTGCGGGGCAACAGTATCTGCCAGGACACCTCTGGATCTCAGAGCATTCCGTTTGATAGCCAGCCTCCCCAGTGCCAATGGATAACACATGCTACATGTCAGCTGGTGGAGGGAAAAGCCAAGGCCATGAGAAAGGCAAGCCAAGATGAGACAAGACACTGCATAACTATCATCAGAAATGGTGGCTGCACGCGAGATATAGCAGGCGCAGATCTGCTCTGATTTCCAACAACGATCACACTGCTCTTGACAGCCGTGGTTAAGTGAGACAGGGTTAAGTGGGATACTTATGCAAACAGCAGAGGAGCATGCTTTTAATGTAGCTGTATTTCCATTTATTTCTAAGATAAGGAGCACATGCAACATAGTCACCCAAAACCACTAGTTCTGAACTTACGCCATCCTCCGCAGGCTGCTCTTCAGCTGAACAGGTCGACTGCTCTTTTTCAAATACTTCCTGAATAGGGAGGCAAGCAAAATCTATTAGTCTCACAATGCCAACAACATGAATTCATGATCAACTCAATGTTCCGAATGAATATTAGGGCAAGGCACTAGCTCACTCCTCAAACATACAAAGATTCTAGTTATTAACAGAGAGGCTTCTCGGTAGTGGCACCCGCCCTGTGGAACGCCCTCCCATCAGATGTCAAGGAAATAAACAACTACAGTGGTACCTTGGGTCAAGTACTTAATTCGTTCCGGAGGTCCGTACTTAACCTGAAACTGTTCTTAACCTGAAGCACCACTTTAGCTAATGGGGCCTCCTGCTGCCACCACACCGCCAGAGCCCAATTTCTGTTCTTATCCTGAAGCAAAGTTCTTAACCTGAAGCACTATTTCTAGGTTAGCGGAGTGTGTAACCTAAAGCGTATGTAACCTGAAGCGTATGTAACACGAGGTACCACTGTATCTGACTTTTAGAAGACATCTGAAGGCAGCCCTGTTTAGGGAAGTTTTTTTAAGTTTGATGTTTTATTGTGTTTTTAATATTCTGTTCGGAGCCGCCCAGAGCGGCAGGGTATAAATAATAATAATAATAATTATTATTATTATTATTATTCTACATCCAGTCTACAAAACTGGTTAACCAACATGAAATCACTTGCTTTCCAAATGATTGGCAGCTGAGTATGTGAGGCTGACTGCACAGAAAAGTATGTGAATGTGAAATCTGAAAATTTTCTTTTCTCTGGTGTTTTATCTTCAGTGACCCTTAATACATGAGAACATTGGAACCTGCCTGTGGCGATCACACAGGGGCCCCGGACATTTGACAGTCTACTGACCCTGTGTCACCACTGTGATTGCTTTCTTCGCTGCCACCAACCCGTTTCTCATGGGTACACACAGAGTCCAGTCAGTTGTTAACATTAACAAATAATCAAGTTTATTTTATAGGCATGAACAAGCTTATGGTTTCAGTTAATTTTTCTTGGCAGTTTCTTAATCTTAGTTCCTTAACTGTCCTATTCGTTCCTAACAACTTCAAACTGATTATCCCAACTAACTATCTGACTCCCCCTAACAGTTCCTCTCACTCTTTCACCACACAACTCGACCAATGCACAGACTTATATCCTCCCTCTTCCTTCTTCAACTCCCAACTCCCAACTCTAACCCTAACTCCTCCTATCAGTTTCCACTGGCCAATCACATCACACTCATTTTAACCCTTTCCTTATGACCCACCTAGGAGGCAAACACCACACTGCCTTATATAGAGACCACTGATCCCATCTAGCTCAGTACTGCTGAGTTTCAGACAGTCCTGAGGTCTTCAGATAGGGTGCCTTTCCCAGCCCTACCTGGAGAGGCCAGGGATTGAACGTGGGACCTTCTGTAGGCAAAGCAGGGGCTCTACCACTGAAATATGATCCTTGGCCATCAATGATGACTCAGGGCATATCATTGACTACTGCTGTTCAATTTATGAACCAGATGTGCAGTTAGATGGAACTAAGTTTTTTTTTGCTCAACATACATTTTTGAAATTTTGAACCCAAAAATAATGTGTGCAAATAAGAATACTCACTGCCATTGTTTGTCTTGTTAGGGTGACCAAAACAGTAACGAGCGATCCTACTGTGATGTTGTTGCTGTCCTCGTCATCCAAAACTTGGGAGGGAAGAGGAAGGGGTGAAAGGATACATCAATTTGCACTGGGTTTTTCCCCAGTTTAATACCTTCCTTGTAAATAAACTTCACTCAGCTGTCAAATTTATGACTGCAATCCTATTTGAGAATATCTTAAAAGAAGTTTGAAAATGCAACTTAAAGCCCTCACTGGCACCTTTAACCACCCATCCAATTGAAAGTTAAGACTCAAGGGACTTTCTGAATGTGGCACAAGGAGTGTGGAGAGGTGTTTGGTTCACCAGAGTGTTCCTCACAGGAAATGTGCTGCTGAGGCAGCACTCTGCACAGGATTGAACTGATGTTACCTGGTGATGTCTTCTGATTGGAAAGTGGACATGGCAAAGGAGAGGCCAAACTGGACCCACTGGCAGTCCAAGACTGGCTTGCAAGCTAGAGATTTCTCAAACTCTAAATCTAAGACTACAGAATGCAGGAAATCTGCAATTCCTTAAGGCTAAACAATTTAAAGGGGACGCGGGTGGCGCTGTGGGTAAAAGCCTCAGCGCCTAGAGCTTGCCGATCAAAAGGTTGGCGGTTCGAATCCCCGCGGCGGGGTGCGCTCCCGTTGTTCGGTCCCAGCGCCTGCCAACCTAGCAGTTCGAAAGCACCCCTGGGTGCAAGTAGATAAATAGGGACCGCTTACTGGCGGGAAGATAAACGGCGTTTCCGTGTGCTGCGCTGGCTCGCCAGATGCAGCTTTGTCACGCTGGCCACGTGACCCGGAAAGTGTCTCCGGACAGCGCTGGCCCCCGGCCTCTTAAGTGAGATGGGCGCACAACCCTAGAGTCTGTCAAGACTGGCCCGTACGGGCAGGGGTACCTTTACCTTTTTAAACAATTTAAATTCTACAGACACCATTAAGTGCACCATGAATGCATACGAAATAATGAAAAGTGGACATTTAGAACACCACCTACCCTGGGGTTTTATATCCATGGTGATATGTGGAAAACTGCCAAGGACAGCCATAACATCTTCATATTTTTCATCTTCAAGGAAGTGCAGTAAATTGTGGCGATCCGATGCTTTTAAACTCACCAAGTCTTGGATGGTTTTGATTTTGTACTTGGTAAAAAAAAGAGCAAAAATTCTATTTTCCAAAAATAAAACCCACTACCACATAATTTATTGATATTGCTAACATCACAGTGGAAACAGAAAGTATGAACAGTGGCACTCTCTGGAAAATTAAGTAACAGAGTTAAGGCATTGTGGAATTAACTTTTTCCAAGTCATAAATAGAGCAAGTTAGTTTGAACATGGCTCCTGATGACATACAGGACCTTACCTTTTTATGATTAGAAACCCGTCTGAGATTGTCCTCTTCAATGTGTGGGAGTTGGAGGAGTGGAGATTTAAACTGCTGAAGCCCTTGAACAGTCATCTGTGAAAGCTTCATGCAGTTTTCCAGAGAACCCAGTGATGGAGCACGAAACTCTCTTTCTGGAGGAATGGGAGAGGAGGAGGAAAAAAATGTATACTAAACTGTTAGTGAGACATTTCAGTAACTCAGGAATTAATACAACAAAAGTTTTTACTAAATACGTCAATTCTCTAAGGTCATACTGTATAATTCCGTGAAACTGGAGACAACATTAAAAGGAGGAAGACTGGTTTTTTAATTAAAAAAAACTGTTTTGTTTCAAAGTTTTGTGTATTAATGCAACACAATTTAATAGCCACTTTAGTATCTTATTTTCAAAATAAATATTTAGGGTGGTATGAAGTAGTTCCATTAGCACAAGGACTTCCAGTAGTGCAACAGAATTCCCCCCTCCTCACTCTCTGTACCCCATAAATCTGTTCTGAAGGGCAAGGGGAGGAGAGGGGGGTTAAGGTCAGTTGTGCAAATGGAAATCTTTGGGCTAATGTAACTACTTTGTTGGAGACCTCCCTTAGATATTGATTTGACATAAGTCAGTAAAACCCTTTTTAAAAAAACAATACATGAAATGCCAACTTCACATAAGAAAATTTCTCTTTCTTTACAGAAAATTGGCTACTTCTTTCTATAACTATTTCCCTAATAAATTGCCTGTATCTCCTAGAAACAAATTATTCCGAGGGGGAAATTATCGATATCTTGTAGAATTCATGAGGATGTGAAGGTATATTTTACAAGCTGGGATATAATAAAGCTTATTCTTACCTTCACGGCTCCGTGCCATTATGATGAGCTGGCAGATTACATTAACCATTTCTTGAAGCAAAGCAGGACACTTTTTCAAGATAAACTGCTGATCTGCAAGACATCAAGACATTCAACAGTCCTGTATTATAAGGTAAATCTTGCCACACACTGTAGCCTTTGTCTCATTTTTTGCTTATGTTATACTGCTATTAATATCTCCTTGCCATATGTTCCTTATGTTTATACAGAGAGAAGTATCATAATGTGTGGCCCATCCCACTCTTTCAAAATCGTGTCACCCTTTGGAACAATCTTATACTTAAGATTTACCTAAAACTAAAGCGTGATCACTTTCAACTGCTTTAGAAGAAGAGTTTGGATTTGATATCCCGCTTTATCACTACCCGAAGGAGTCTCAAAGCGGCTAACATTCTCCTTTCCCTTCCTCCCCCACAACAAACACCTCACAGAGTGTTGTGACTAGCCCAAGGTCAGAGAAGTGTGACTAGCCCAAGATCACCCAGCAGCTGCATGTGGAGGAGCGGAGACGCGAACCCGGTTCCCCAGATTACGAGTCTACCGCTCTTAACCACTACACCACACTGGCTCCATTTACTGTATGTACATCTCTCTCCTCCCTTCCTGATGATGATGGTCTACAATATCCCTGATCACCGGTGTTTCTGGCTGGGACTGTAGTCCAAAACATTTGGAGGGCCACAGGTTAGTCACCTTTGCTGTGTAGGGTAATAAAAAGGGAGGGAATTGTAGAAAGCGCAACTTGTCAAACAAGTGCTGAAATGGCCTCTTTCAAGCAACAGCAACACAGGGAGCTACCTCATACCAATTCAGACCACTGGTCCATCTAGTTTAGTATTGCTTACACCAACTGGCAGCAGCTCTCTAGGGAGGCACCAGAGATTGAAACCTTCAACATGCAACCAACAGATGAGCTAACACTGAACTAAGTCCCTTCCTTGGAGCTCCGTCCTCCTCTGTCACCATTGTGTCCAAATGAATTAGACAAGATAGGAGCAGGTTTTGATTTTTTTTTTTTTAATGGCTGGAGTTATCAAGAGCAGAGGGACATTTTAGCTCCCCAACCCAGTAGTGTCTGAATGTGCCCCTTTATGTGATCCTAAGTAAATGGATAGAAGCAGAAAGGTAAAATGCTGCACTTCAAAATAATACTGCAATGACACTGAGGAGGCCTAGTCAACAGGAACTCCATATGTGGGTGAGAAAGTGTTTTTCCTTTCCCTTCTGCAAAAAAAAGGGGGGGAGCAGGGTTGTGAGAGGTGATATATTTGCAACACTTACCTCTTCTCAACCCTGTAATAAAAAAACACCCAGAAAAAAACCCAAAACCCAAAGAAGTTCGATTCAAAGAGGTCAAAAGAAAGATTCACAGTTTGTGACACTTTCATACACAGGAGAGCCTGAAACTTCCAAATTGGTTTGTGTCCAATTTTGCCCCTCTGACTGGGTTGCCCCAGCCACTCTGGGCAGCTACCAACAGAATATACAAAAACACAACAGAATGAAAACAGCACATGAAAAGCTTCCTGATACAGGGCTGCCTTCAGATATTACGGAAGGTCGTAGAATTATTTCTCTCTTTGACATCTGAGTGGGGAAGCCAATTTTGCTTGGTGCAGCTTCAGACCTCAGAAGCCAGAGAGGTTTTGATATGCCCAGGGGTAGAGGCAAGATTTCAAATGTGCAATATGGTTTCCAGGACTAAAAGCTATAAATGATGCCTACTGAAAGTAAGTTATTCAATGGATTTAATTTGCATAACTTATCAGGCTGCATAATTCCGCTTTTCTTAGCATGAAATATGGATCCCTTTGTGGTTTTCCTTTTTTACAAAAAAAATACAGTGCACACATGGCCATAAAAACCAAGAAAGTGATAAAACCAGAACTTATGACTTGACATGCTCCACTTCAAGGCCTAGTTCTAGCCTTATGATGTTGTGGTTTCTCAAGCAAGGTACCTTGTTCAAGTGTCTCAGGAATTTTCATTCTGGCAAGGTGAGCCAGTAAGAGCACTCTGGCCTTCAGGCTGTAAGGACAGGTAAGAGGAGGTTCGTTTTTCTTCAAATTAATGCTGCCAATTTCCCTGATTAGCTGAAACGACAAAAGAAAGGGGGTTAACTAAATAATATTTTGGCACCAACACACGTAGTTTAACTTTTCTCAGCAATAGCAAACCTGTGGTATTTGAATGTTGTCTACAGGTCTGCTTGTTGCATCTTTATTATACTGCGGGTCAAATTCGGAAGCACCTGCTAAAACCATTATAAGCCCTGCAAAGAAAACCAGAATATAAATACAAAGAAAGCTTTTGGAAATACCCTTTTACTACAGTTGCCCAGCTCCAAAAAAAAGTGTTAGCATGCCTTCCCACTGCCAGCATGTCTGCTTCCAGACAAGGAAATCAGGATACAATAAAAGCTGGCGGGAGCTGTTTTCTCAGCCACCACAATGGGCCTAGTTCTCACTGAGGTAGGCAGGCATATATCTGAACATATATCTGAACTGTACCACTGCAAGGAGAAGCTCACATGAATGCTAAAAAAAAATCTGCATTAAAAACTGTATTTCACGGAAAACTGTTTTAGTCTAGCTTTCACTCAGATGTGTTAATTCTTTATATGTGGCAAGAGAGGGTTATAGGAGGAAGAGCATTCAGTCATGCAAATCTCCACCTGAAGTCTAAAGTGGCAGCACCACTTTACTTACCATCCTAAGTTCCCATGTCTCCCTGAATGAACTGAGCAGGATTCTAAAGGAAACCCCTAAGCATACTGAAACATTGATCCATTGAATGCTTAGGCATTCCACACGGAGAGTTACATTTTTAAATGCTGAAGAACAGTTAAATGAGTGCAGAATTCAACAATTCATCCTTTTAACTGGTGCTCTGAAACTTACTTTTCATATCCATGTTTCTTGTTTTATAAACAAAATAGGTATAAATCTGGGTGGTGCGGATGAGAATCTGGTCTCCACTGTAGCGTATTGATCGATACCACCAGGAACCCTAAGACATTCAAGACAGAAAAAGTGACAGATATTAATTTCATTAAAATATGTCAAAATAATATAGCTTCCAGTTCTGACACTCTGCATTGTAAAAGTGTGCTTGCAGGGCCAATAAATGAGCAGGTGGAATATGGCTGTAAGCCCAGTGACCCACCCTGCAGCCCCAGCTTTTACCAAAATGCACCTTTCCCCTTTCCTAAATACTTACTACAACCACTGGAAGAATAACCATAAATGCCAATCCATAAACAAGCAGGACCTAGAAGAATATAATGGGAGAAGATCAGACATTCTGACCAAGCCATAAGTAATTACAGATAGAGCAATCAGTCTTCACCATTGCAGTCATATGTTAAGGTGTTTGAAGGACCAAACCACAGAGCACTTAAAGTAAAAATTTCAGAAACTTACAAGCAATCAAGTAGGATATTTTAAGATTTGTACTGAAAGCCCACCTTAAGTTTTTCTTGCTAGACCATTTTAAATACTCCAAGGGGTGCACCATTCCAGGGCTGAATCATTTTAGATGCATTTTAACTCTTTACAAAACTAGTCCACAACTCTGAATGGGCAAGTGCATAAGCACTTCCTCACAGCTGGTTACAGAAAAGCCAAGGCTTATAAATATCCTGCATGCATGGATTGTCACCTTTCTGTAAACTACTACAGAACCCGTGAATACTCATAAGTAATCTGCACTGTGGTTTTCAGCTTGAACAGTTAAACTGGCAGAGAACAGAATGTTACCATACCAAAATAGAATTCTTCTGATCCACAATCCAAGCTGGCAACGCAATCCCAAAGCTTGTAGCTGCAAAGAACAAGAAAACAGGTTATGAAATAGTAAGACAGTAAACTCAAATGAATTCATGCATTTGAGAAAGCTGTATATATTGTGGATTTTAAAAAAAATATTCCAGTACTTCCTGTATGTTGGGAAAACAGGAACTGAAGTTCTTGAAACGACTGTCTGTGCAGTCACAGATAGAGTTTCACATTTGTGCAGAACAAACTATTGGGATATTCTAGAGTTCTAGCCAGGGAGCTGATGCTCAGGTTCTTAACCCTCATGGGAATCCTTTACTACTGATGCATGGCTTGAGAGATTAGGTTAGCACTTTCCATTCAACTCCCTCACATCCACCAAGAAACAAAAGGGACTTAGAGGAGGAAGGGTGAGCCGATTTGTGTAAAAAAAAAAAGCACAGATAACCACTTGAAAAAGAATTATGCACAGGCAAAGAATCCCAGCTGGGTCCAGGAAGTGGTGAATGCTCCTTTATGCAACTAATCAAGTCCCAGCTGCCTTGAAACAGGAGGTTGTGAGATTGCTCCTAAAAGAACTTTTCCTTAGACATGGAAAATTGTAATAACTATTGGCTAGTTGCAAATATCGCCTTCCTGGCCAAAGTGTGATCAGGTGGCTGCCATGCAAGCTCATCTGAATGATACTGATTATCAGAACCATTTCAAGCTGGTTTCAGACCAGCTGAATAGCTTACTGAAGAGCAAGCTCCCGGTGCTGCCGATGCCATGGCAATTGGAACTGACAAGGAGGTACTCACCATACAACTGCCAGCTCCCTGGCTAGAGCTTCACATGAGTTGGTTCTTTGCAGGCAGAGAACACCATGTGTGACTGTACTGGAGTAATAAGGAAACTGCACATACAAAGTATTGCATATTATGGCTGCAATCTCTGCCTGCACATAAGCAATCATTTATGTCAGTGTTACTCATTTACATGTAATTTAATAGAATTAAGTGCTGGACAACACTGCAACTGAGGTTCTTACCCATCAAAATCAATTCACAAAGCAAAACAAAACATGTAGAAATTTTCCAGGCTGGCTATTTAGATAATTAAGGGGGGGCTCAGTGAAAAATGCTAGATTTGGGTGTATGGAAAAGTGCAGTTGGTGCAAAGATGTGTAACAGTGAACAAAATGAATAAAACTCCAACCACCACCAGACAAAAGTTGGAGTACTAAATAAACTCATATATATAGATAAAGATATATAGTGTGGCTGGGGCAACCCAATCAGAAGGGAGAAAGAAGAAGAAGAAGAAGAAGAAGAAGAAGAAGAAGAAGAAGAAGAAGAAGTAGTTGTTGTTGTTGTTGTAGGTCTACCTTGTGGCCCATCAGGATTGCCAAATTCTTCCCAATTCTTTCGAGATTCTTCATCAGTTAAACTAGCAAATGAAGGCAGAAAGCATGTTAGAAAACTCCTCAATACTTCCTTGACTGTTCCTTAAGGGAACAGTGACCTCTGCTGTTCAGTGACTACAACTTATTTGACCACCCAGATGTTCATTCCAAACAAACAAAAGGGAAGTTTATCAACAAAGGGCTACACAGAGTTCCAAATTTACCACCAACTTTATGGAAATCATGCAAATTTGTACCATGTCTCTGGAGTTTTACAAAGTATTTTAGCAGAGACTGCAGTGCTAGAGGGTAAAGGTGGGGCAAAATGAGCAAAACGTCAGTACAATAAAGCTATCAGATGAGATTTCCTAAACCAATAGACCTGAGTGCTAGACGATGATATTAATCTACTTTACAAGCTGGGTTTTTTGCAACTTCAACTTACTCATTTAGGAGGAAATATACTAATTAGCTAGGGCAAGACAAGAATCAGTACAAGCAATATTAGGCTGTTACTGCAGCAATTGCTGACGTCGCATGATGAAGGGACTCAGATTTAGATCATGATGTTAAGTATCAACAAGTATTAGCTTGCATTATCAACCTCCCATCCTATATACAGAACTTATTAAGAAACTTACGCTGCATAAGCCTTTGCAATCCTCATAAACATAACTTCATCTCCTCCTTTATCTGGATGGTATTTCAGCGATAGCAAACGGTACTGCTTTTTAATTTCTGACACAGTTGCTCCCTATTAAGGTAAAAGTTTCAAGTTAGTTATATCAAACCTATTAATGAGAACTTCTACTGCTTAAGACACCTGCTCTAATTTCTCAGCACCACTCAATAGACAATCAAAGTGAAGGCAAAGATGTATCACAAAGAGTTCATGTCTACAGCTATATGCTGAAAGGACTCTTATTCAGTTAGAACCAAATTGACCACCCCAGATCAATATGCAGTGGGGGAGGAAAAGGGTATTCCCCCAACCCAAATACTTGACCTGATGATATGATCACCTTAGTATCATGTTCAGTTCGTCCCAATAGGTTCAGTGGAACCAATGAATTCTGAGAAGCCCATAAGAATCAATGGGGATACAACCTCCCTGTCCAGACCCAAGAACAGATTGCCCACCAAAGTCATGTCAGTCCAAAACTGCCAACCCAGACTGTAAAGGACTGAAGGATATGGCCTTACCAAATTTCTGCCATTGCTACCATTACCATCTTCATTTCATTGCTTATTGATAACTTACAGAGCACTTTGAATAGTGAATCTTGTTTGAAAGCATATATGCATAATTACAGGGGGGTTTAAATGTGAAAGTTGTGCCCCATATTTTTTTATTTATAAAATTTTATAAACTGCTTAATCAGAAAAAAGGTGTATATGGTATTATTACATTTAGGCAGTTGAGCATGGTCAGATCTACTTTAACCTTCCCATTATTCTATTCTGTACATGTACATTTATGTCAAACTGAATCAAAACTGTATTAAATAGTAAAGGATATTACTTACTGGGTCTAAATTTAATACTTCATATGGATTGTATTCTTGATATTCTCTGTCTGTTTTGGAAACTTTGTAAGCAAGAAACAAAAACAGTGCCCATCCAGCAAGCAGAACTATTTTCCTGTTGAATTTGAAAGATTAAAGTAAGAATTTCAGACATGTATGCAACCAATTTGTATGAATATGTTGAGGAAAGAGAGTATCACAGACAAAAATCCCAATGGCCAAAAACCCAGAGCTATTCCCTCTCATAATTAATGGGAACAGAATAATATCACCAATGCAAACTGAATAAGCATTCCCCAGAATTTTACGCATCTCTCTTCAGTTCTAAGTTATTAATTCCTATTCCTTTCATTGTGGAGGCATGTGATTCCTCTCTGTAGCACTCTATTAAAAGGGAAAATAAACATGGAAGGGTTTTGTGTGTGGTGCACTGAAGCAGATGACCAACTAGTAGCATCTATATAAGCTGTCTTGCCAAGAATGCGAAACCAATGTGGATTTCTCAATACATGCCTTCATATAGGTGTGGGGAACCTTTAGCACTCCAGATGTTGCTGAACTACAACTCCCACCAGCCCCAGCAAGCAGAGCCAATAGTCAAGGGTAAGAGTTGTAGTTCAGCAACATCTGGAGGTCAAAGGCTCCGCACACCTGCCCTAATAGAACAGTGAAGTAAATTCATTCAAACCAGTTAATTCATCCTTCTTATCTTAAGGAAACCCTCTCCACACACACTCATCTGCCAAGAAATCTACGGTGTCCATGGAAGCTCATGCAACACAAAAGACTGTAGGATTGTTCTGCATCACATTCCAAATCCATGTAAAGTATCAGGGCTCCATAATTTCACATAATTAATTTCACCTAAAATACACCCAACACCTCCCTGTGTCTAGACTTCTAAAGATAAGATCAATAGGGATGGGTAACTCATCCTTCAGTGAACTTTGTCTGCTACTTATGTTCACATTGAAGAACCCCCAATAAACTTCTTAAGAACCCCAGAACACAGTTTAAAATCAGGAGCACAATTGCCCAGTAAAGTTGCAGATCCAAACCATTCACTTTGGATTCCCAGTGGAATCCTTCCATGATGTGTTGTTCAACCTTTGATCTTCTTTATAGCTTCTTTATAGTTATGATCCCGTCAGTCCACCCACAAGTGTACTAAGACCTACGGGTGTAATACGAATGATTGTCCGGCATCATACTACAGAAAGCCACATTACATTTTCAACTGAAAAGTAACATTGCATTAACAACAATAACAGAACAGAAATTCTAGACAATAAACGATACTTACTTTATGGTAGGAATTATATTCTGCTGGGGCTTTAACAACCGTAATCGATACCACAGGCATCTTCCATACACTTTTCTTAAATTCTTTAAGCGAATTTGCTCTGTGAAGGAAAAAGGTCGTTTTAAATTTTGGTAGTAGCAAAACAAGTAGTGACTTGGATTTCTTGAATCTGCTCAAACCTTAAAATAAAAATAAAAAAATTATAATTTAACTATAAAGACTAAGATTTCAACTCTTTCATAGGCACTTATTTGCACACCATATAAATATTAATTAACAGTTTACCATGAATGTGCAAATAGCTCCTGCTTCACCTTTCTTCTAGAATGAGTGGGGATTACCAAACCAAGATCCTCGGCTTAGCATTACTTCCAGACTGTGGGTTAAGGTTTCCTCAAACAAGCCACTACATGAAGACAAGGGTTTGCTGTTGGGCAAAACAGACTGCAATAGCCCATTTGGACATAAGACTAAGACAAACACCCATTTTTGCTGGTGGAGGAGTGAAGCGAGAGTGATCTCTACATTCACAGTAAACCAATAGCTATTGCTTGCTGCTACATATAAACTGGGCCATAGTATCATCTTCAATTACAGGTTCACACAAAAGAAGATACAATTGACAACTACAATGTGTCAATATGGTTACATACTGCAACAGTCTAAATAAATTATCCATTTACTTATCAAAAGGAGAAGCACAACCTGAAGTCATCTCCTTGAGTGATATTAAACATATAAATTAAAGCAAAATATGCAATTTGATATAATGAACCAGATATTTTATAGATACAGTATGAACCTCAGAGGTAAAAAGGTTGCTCATGCTTATATATTATGCAAACCTATGTCCTCCATTATGTAAATCAACTCAGTTGTCTTGCAGTTATGTTTTAAAGAGGTTTTGCTTGGATATCACAATAGAAATGCATGAACTAGCAAAATTTAAATTAGCTTTTAAACCTCAAACTGAATTAATTTACAGAATGCATGGTAAAGTCAAGGTAACTTGTTTCTTATCTTAAAATGCAGAAATATTTGTAAAATGCAGAATAATGCAAGATAAATACCCTTATTAAAGTGATATTTTAACTATACATGTTAAGGACTGTGCTTAAATATTTTCCAACCCTCTGCAATAGAAGTGTTGTAGATCCAACTTTCAACATTAATTCTGGCACTGCAATTCTACATGCATGTGCAACATCCAAGCATTTAAATAGAGCCTTAGAACCAAAGAACTCTAGTTGTAATGCCATCTTGATAATAATAAAGGTAAAAGAACTGAGCTAAGGAGTGTTTCTTTCCATCCTAAGTCGCCCCCTTTTATTCTGGTTTGGCATTACATGTAAAGGGCAGTCTTCTAGCCTGGTCCCTTTTAGCTCTAACTAATGGCGCTGCTATCATTATGTTGATAATTCCCACTATCTCTTTGATCCAGCAGGTAGTTATAAACGGTACTTAGGTAAAGTTAAGTCTGCTTTAGTCTTGACATTTATGCAGCCTGACATTCAACACATGTATTTGATAGGCATTCTGCCTGAAGCCACACTGCTTTCCTTTAGGAGTAAGGGAGCAAGTTCTCTCTTTATCTAAGGCAGGCAGGTCCAACAGGTAGATCGTGATCTACCAGTAGATCACTGGAGATCTGCGGTAGATCACTGGCTCCCCCCAAAGAAGCTGAACAACTGTGGCTCCCCTAAAAGAAGCTCAACATTTTACCTCCTCCCTAAAAAAACTTAACAACTTTGACCCGAACCCCAAAAAAGGGGGTAAATCACTGCCAGTTTTTAACTCTGTGAGTAGACCGCAGTCTCTTGGGAGTTGGCCACCCCTGATCTAAGGTATCCCAGTTTCTACACTTCCCACACTCTCCTGGCCATGGAAATAGAATTAATCAAAATATTAGCTTTGCTTTTAAGGGTGGTTAAGAGGTACCATTCCCAATCATTTAGTCACAATCATACATGTGTGTTCTTGGTAACTCTCGGGAGTGGAACAAGTGCAGTCTCTCTACTTTAAATTGCACATTCCTCTAATTATTTTGAAAGAGATAACATACTATTCTTTACCATTGTTTCAAGATGCAAATAGGTTCTTGAAACTAAAAAAAAAATGTTTATCTTTCCAACTCATTTATTACTGTTGTGCGTCACTGGTTAAGAACATGATGGCTTGTTTTCGCTCTTCCATTACACAGTGGGCTAAACTGTAGTAAGTAATACAAACAAACCAAGAAGCATATGCACAGGTTTTTTTAAAGCACTTAATGATACTTGACATTAGAACTTTGAATTTTAAGTCTATTTTCTGTAAGGAATGTGCTAAACAATTTATTCAAGTAATCTGCAAAGACATAAATGCCTTCATACAAGCATGGACCAAAGCTTTGGGAAACACTAGAATCCAACAAAAAGCTCTACATTTTTATGTTGCATAGGTTGAAATGTTAATTGAACAGTTGATGTTTTCCAAACACTGTGAGTAGCTTTCAGATTCGAGACAAAAAGTGGGATGGGATGTGCAACTAGGGATAGATGAAACTGTCGATTTTGGTTGCTCCCAGGTCGTCATTTTTCCAATCTCAAGTTCAGTTCTCCACATTTTAATATTTTTTAAGCCTCATGGAAATTCATCAGCACTTTTCGTGTGCACTTCTACTGATATATACATTTGTATTCAATTCTGCCCAATACAGACATTTTTGAAAAGCAATGTTCCCCAATATGATGAATTTATATATGTTATTTTCAGCAATAAGTGCAGTTTTGTGCATATTTTACCTTGACTGGAGAACTGCATTGCAAAATTCAAAGAAGTGCAAATTTCAAAGGATGGCTAGGTTATGGGTTTGCGTCTTCTTTTGGAATGTATGGATTAGGTGGATTTAAATGCAAACTGAATCCAGTTTCTCCCCCATCCATATATACAACTAGTAAATCAGTCAAATTCATAGGAAGTATGTAAGCTTCCATGGAACACTCATCAAGCTGAACCAAAATTGTAGCTTGAACCTATGATTTGGTTCAAGTATAGAAGATGTACAGTTTAAAGAAACAGAAAGCAGATCCACTGAGATCATCCTAGATTTTTCACAAGGCAAATGTGTACACTCTTAGAATTCGTTGCTAACTGTAGCAGCTGCTTCTTGCAATTATCAAGTACATGTTCTTGAAGAAAGTACCAACATAATCACACCATACCGACCAGGAACAGATATTTTTGTGACATGCTCAGTGGATCTGTTCAAGTATGTTTAAGAGCGCTCTTATTTTAGTAAACACACACAAAAACTTGACACAATTTACACTTTTATTTCAAATACAAGGTCAAATTAACTGGCAGAAAGCTCAGGGCTTGTGATTTCTCAAGAAGTGTGTAAAAATGAAGCTGCATGTTTACAGGACTTTTAAGGATGAAATTTTAAATATGCCTACAGAGAAGCAAGTCCCATTGAAATTAGAGTTACTTCCAAGTAAACAAATGCAGTATTGCCGTTAAAAAAAAGTAGCTCATATCCATACTAAAGCCCCATTGTTTAAGACAGTGATGGCCAAACTTGGCCCTTCAGCTGCTTTGGGACTACAACTCCCATCATCCATAGCTAACAGGACCAGTGGTCAGGGATGATGAGAGTTGTAGTCCCAAAACATCTGGAGGGCCAAGTTTGGCCATCACTGGTTTAAGAGTACTAAACTAATGTTCTGTCATACCACAAACACCTACATACACCTAGCAAAAGCAGGAAGACAAACTAACCCATGGTAATTTACATAAATATTGTGGTGCAACTATTCAGTCTTGCTTCATAGAAAACACAAAACCATATCAGCTAAATAACTGCTCATAAACCAACCAACCTTGTCTTACAACATAATCCTATGCATGCTTATGCAGAAATAAGACACACTATGTTCAATGAGTCTTAAGTAAGGTGACTGGCAGAGAGATAAGGCCTTGGATAAAACTTGAATGTGATAAGATTTTGCTTTGCGTAATAATGATGTTTTTAATGTATTTACCCAAAATTCCCCCTCACCACTAGTTCCTCGAAATATGCTTTGATGAGTTAGGGGACATTCTGCTCTTCATTCATTCCACCAAACGGACAATACTGGATACCACCCAATATAAACACATAAAATAAAACATTAAGATTTATTGTCTGCAGCCATCCCCCACCAGCATGAATATAGATGTGCAAGTTTGCATACTAAGGAGCAGCCAGAAGTCAGCTTGTTTGTACTTTTGTCATCTGAACACCTGCTTCTCAATACACCTCTTACACACACACACACACACACACACACACACTGACGTTCATAATTACCTTAAGTCAAGGTTAATCAGAATTTACTATTTTTCATGATCAAATGGTTTTCCAGCAACTCTGCACAGTAAGGATTTTTACTGCGGTGGATGTAATGATTTATACTCAAATGATAACATGAATATTTTTAGAATAGTCCTACACAATATGTTAAAACTCTGAGATCTAAATAATCAGACAGGCACCGAGCTATCAAATGAACATTTACTGCTCAGTGCCAAGATAGCTCGGTTCTCTAGAAATACTGTAAACTCAGCCCAACAAGGCCCCATTATCATTCCCTAAGCAGTGCAATATTCTATGGAACTTAAACCAAGACAGCAAAATAAGTAATTATACATTCTGCTCCTGATATAGATGGATAGCAAGTTGAACTGCATGTTAATTTTCCATCATTAGAAGCGATGTAAGAATTTGAAGTGAACCACCACCTGAAGGGTGCTGAATTCAACAGCCTTAACGCCACAGCCATTTTGACAAGACCTATTTAAAAAAAGAAACAAGGAGTACCATTTCACATTCTTCTGTGTGCACATATCATAGTGCATAAGTTATAACATTTAAAGATTGTTAAAAATGCAGCACCTCATTTTTGGACACCTTAAGACATTGTTCCCTATTAAACTGAAACCCTGTGATATATGACTAGGTCTAATACACATTAGAAGTTAAAATAACTCTACAAAATTGGATTGCAGTAAAGGTATACCAAAAGACATTGATACATAATGTTTGCCTGCCTACCTACCAGCAATGTATCTGCCTTAATTTGTGTTTCTCTCTGTCCCCCAAAATTAAACTTTGATTGTCACGGGGGTGGGGTAATTCACCCACCACAGATGAGAAGCTATTTATAAGCTGTCTGCAACCATTAAACAAATGCATCAATGTTGTGCATCTGCAACATTAGAAGCAGAAAGGCTGTGATCCTAACCCCACCAACTGGGAGTAAGCTCTATTGAATTCAATAGAACTTACTTCAGAGTTAAGACGGCGAAGACTGCACTGTAAAGCACCAACACAAACAACTTAAGACAGTGGTGTGCAGTAAGATTTCCTCTCCTAAAACTGGAACTTCTCACTCTTTCCTCCCTCCTATAACTTGCACTCTCCAAGTCTGTTCAACCCTGCTGCTGCAAGAGTGTGATACAGCCCAGTATTCTTGCTGTTCATAGTCTTCCAAGGGCCAGTCATGCAATTCACACCACCAACCTATGTCACATTTCATCATTCTGAACTGCAACCTGAGAAAAACGAAATGTTAACAGATCTATAGACAAATATATATACAAAAAAAAGAATAAAGAGAGCATCAGCAACACTGCTCTTTATCTTTATTACATGATGGATAGAAGTGCATCCTCTGTGTAATGGTGAAAACGATCTAAAGGAAACATTTTAGACAGCCACATGATTGCGCAGCTTGTGGCCAACGGCTGAAGCGCAAGGTGCACCACCTGCAAAGCAAGTTCCGGCAACGGCACAAATTGCAACATTTTCCTAAAACCAGAGGGCGCCAGGAAGTTTTACCCCATCGGTTGTATAACCTCTTTCCCCATCACATTTTTGAAAATTTTGTCCCTAAAGCCCATTTGCATATACTATTCAAAACGACATAAATTATACATGCTGGCTTATTTAATGACCCTTTCAACCTCCAAATGTGCAATGTAGTCTGTTCCTAATATTTGGAAAATTAGGCTGGCTGCAGCTATGCTAAACAGCAATGTGAAGTGTTTCCACAACACACAAACACACACAGGCTTTACAAGCATTGTGTGACAAAGCGAAGAAAACCCTGACACCAGCATGGCATGGCAGAGGTGGAAACAAGCAGCAATACCAGATGGCATGCCATGTCCCCAGAAAGTGCCTAACTCTGGAACACCATGTTTGGCAGAACGACGTGTATTTCTTCTTCCAATTGCCACTTTTAATTTACAAGCAGCAACGTTGTTCAACAGCTGCTTCCACATACAGAATTCTAAGTAGCTAAATAAGATTTTAGACAGAGGTCTGATTTTGATGCAACGCTAGGCTGTGCTTATATGTCATGTGAAAAAGCCCCTACTTGCATGTCCACGAGCTTGGCCCAAAGCAAAAGACCAAAATAATTCACTTTACTTTTTAACCACAGTATAGCGCTACATCTGAACCAGACACACTGTAATGATTCTTAACCGTGGTTTATGTCAACTTCAAGCCATGGTTTATGAAGCTGGCTTGTTTCAAATAAACTAGCATTAAGATAAGCCAAAGTTTAGGGTTCACACACAAAATTAAATAGTGGTTCATTGAAAGTGGAACCAAAACTTCCAATCTTCTCCTTGCAGATGTGCAAGAAAAGGGGAGAGTGAGAAACTCACAAGTCCAAGTACTGTGGTACCTCTGGTTGCGGACACCATCCGTTCTGGGGTGCCGTTCACACCCTGAAAAGTCCGCAACCAGAGTGGTGTTTCTGCACATGCGTGAACTGCAAGAGAGCACTTCTGCGCATGTGCAAACTGCACAGAATGCTTCTGCGCATGTGGTGAAACCCAGAAGTAAACACTTCAGTGTCTGCCGCGTTCTTAACCCAAAAAAAATGCAACATGAAGCGTTTGCAAGAAGAGGTATGACTGTAATGAAATTTGGTGTTATGTCTGACCAAGGCCATAGACTAGGCATAGGCAAACTAGGACCTCCAGATGTTTTGGGACTACAGCTCCCATCATCCCTAGCTAACAGGACCAGTGGTCAGGGATGATGGGAACTGTAGTCTCAAAACATCTGGAGGGCCGAGTTTGCCTATGCCTGCCATAGATTAAGTCCTATCTTATAAAGCAAATGTTTTATTGTGATATATGGATGACCGAAGGCAGGCTTTTGCTTTAACTTACCTGTTTGCCAATGAGTTGAAAGTCTGTCAGTTTGTTTGTAACACAATAATTACCGTATTTTCGCCCTATCGGACGCACTATTCCCCTCCAAAAATGGAGGGGAAATGTGTGTGCGTCCTATGGGACGAATGCAGCCTTTCGCTGAAGCCTGGAAAGCGAGGGGGGTCGGTGCGCACCGACCCCTCTCGCTCTCCAGGCTTCAGGAAGCTATCCGCTAGCCGTGGGAGACGCAGCTCTCCCACAGCTAGCGGAGAGCTTGCCTGCACCCAGAAGCTTGGGGTGCGCTGAGCTCAGCGTGCCCCAAGCTTGGGGCTTCGCGCAGCGCTCCACTAGCCGTGGGAGAGCAAAGTCGCGCGGCTCTCCCACGGCTAGCGGATAGCAGCCTGTTCTGGGGGCTGGGGTCGGGGGAAGCTCGGGCTTCCCCAGCCCCGCACCGGGGGGGGGATAATTTTTTTTTCTTTATTTCCCCCCAAAAAAACCTAGGTGCGTCCTATCGGCCGGTGCGTCCTATGGGGCGAAAAATACGGTACTCCACTAGGAATTCAGAATAAAGTTCATGGCACTATCTGGTAACTCAAACATCAACTCAAGCCCTGCACTAGTTTTCAAACATACCGTTTACCTTGAAGACTCAGGTATCAGAATTAAAAAGTTGGCGTGAACACTCAGGGCAACATTCTGTTTTTCAAAAATGAACTCTGCCTCAACCTCCAGACCTACTTTAAAAGAGAGAGAACTATTGCCCAGTACAGCCACAACAAACCACAATTCACTGTTGCATGTGGGACAACAATGGTTACTTTTCCCCAGTAAAGGACTATGAAACTAAATGAAAAGAGGATGTTAAAGCAGGTTCTAATTCAGAGCCAGTCAGAAACAGAAAATTATTCAGAATTCCTTGGCAGTATCTCTTTCTTTTCAGGAAAAGGTTGGCTAGGAATCCGGCAAAGATGCTTTAGATATATGCATCACCAGCCACATATCAGGAAACTAGACAGCTTCAATCTAGCTTCAGGATCCCATTAGACTAATGATTTCAGATGATGCTAAGGGATGAAGAAAAAAATAGCCATAAAATCCAGGAAGACAGATTCAAAACTTAGGACGTGTCCTTCTTAGAATGTATTGTATTACTTAACATAGTACAATGGTGTATTGTATGGAAGAATGCCACATAAGACAGGGATGGTTGCAAATACAGTTTCCCTCATTTTGGGACTTTTGCAATAATGCATTGGGTCGAATGAAAACTGTCTGCCCAGTTCTGCTATCAGTTCTTTTATCAACTTGTATCCTGAAGGAAACACTTATTATTTTAGGTGTTCTGCGTCCTAACAGATATTCTATTAGAATATCAGGTTAATTAACTTTCAAAATGTGTGCACAAATGACATGAAGATCAAAATACGTGTTATTGGCTTTAGGATCAGCCATTGCTGACATCTGTAAACAGCTACTTTAGATACTGACATAAACTAATACTTGTTGCAGCACCTTAACAAAAAAATTCAGCTGAGCAAAGAGGCTTCTGAAGTGTAAGATGTTACAAAATGATTCCCTACTTATTTCTGCCTATTTATTAATAGAACCAAGTAACAAAGTTGGTTTTTTGGCTGGTTAGTCTTTTAAACCTCCATGGCTTCACAACCTCTGTAACAAGGGGTGCAACAAGGGATGCTCAGTATCTATGAGATACTATTATTTGCTGGCTGGTTTGCTGCAAAGGTCAGGAGCAGGTTTCTCCTCCTATCTAGCTTCAGAAAAACTCACAGCCTCTCGAACTTTCCAACAATGCTTGCATCCTTGTCCATAATGACATATGTTCTAAATACTGAGAAGCAGCAAACATTCCCCAATAGTCGTCTAGGAGCCTGGAAATTAAAACTACAAAGTCGAATGGGGTGTGGAGTACAGTGTACTAACTACCAAGTTCTCAAGTGAAAATTCGTTTTAGGCTAAAAGCTACACCTAAACAGAGCTTGATACAAACCTATTTATTCCGAAGCACTCACTGAAATGATAGGGATCGTTACTTCACATCTTTATCACGCTACAAGCTACTACAACTTCCTCCCAAGGCAGCTTCACAGTGCACAGGCAAAGAAGCCATGTAATGAAGATTGCTTGGCCCTTATCTCTCTCATGCTCACAATCAGGAAGAAAAAAGTCTTCCCTTTCAACATGAAAGCTCCTAACCCACTTAAAACAGAGCAGTCCGTGATATCTTCCCCAGATAGATCAAGCACTGAATATAGGACTCTGATCTGGAGTATATAGTCAGTGAGTGCATCCAGCGAAGTCAACGAGGGCTGCCTGCCCCACGTTTACGTAAGCCTTAGGCTTTCATTCCACGCGTTAATATTGGCTTCCTTTCACACGTGACACCCCAAACGCGCCTGATGTGCATTTGCAGGTCCTGCAACATGAAAACCTGCAAGCCAAAAACACCTACACTGATATGTTCCTTTTTAAAATAAATACCCCACTCTTCTTCTAGGATTCCTCTGCCCACTTCCAGAGGCTCGACCCAAACAGCTGGAGGAAAAGAGAGCCTCGACTGGCAGCCCTTTCCGGAGTGTGGCAGCGGCGTGAGACCGGCAGCGTCTTCCCAGTAGCTCAGCTGCAGGAGCTCGGGGAGGGAGAGCACGAAGCCCCTCGAGGGGACGTTGAGGGGCGGGAGGCGGGCTTCCCGGGACCCGCCGGAGGAGAGGGACGGGGCTCGCCACCCACACGCGGCGGCGCCAGGCCCACCGCGGCCGGAGGAGCTGGGGCGGCGGCGGCTTCGCCCTCGCCTACTACTCACCCGAGTGCTGGTCCCGAGGCCACAGGTAGTAGGTGGCGGGGATGACGATGAGGGCCACGAAGCTGGTGAGGAAGTAGAAGAAGGTGTTGCCGCTGTCATCGTACTGGAACTGCTGCCCCGCCATGGCCGCTCACACGCCCCGCCCCCCTCGGCTCTCCTCTCCCGGCGCTCGCCGCTCGCCTCCAGCCAGCGCCAGGCGAAGCAGCGGCCGCTCCGAGGATCCCGCGAGAACAGGAGCAGCGCCCGCCTGCCTGCCCGCCCCACCCACTGGCCTCTGGAGCGCGTCCGCCCGCTTCGCCCCCCCGCCCCCCACCACCTCTTCCTCTCGTTCTCCCACTTCGGCCCCCAGCAGCGCCAGCGCTAGCAGAGGAGGGAGACGTGTCGCTGCGCAGGCGCCATCGCCACCATTGTGACGTCGCGCGCGCGCTTCCGGTTCCTGGGCCCCGGTCGCCCCGGATTGGCTGAGCAGCCAGTCCTTCCCCCAGAGGAAGCCTGAACGACCAGAAGCATTCGGGTGGAGGGGGTGGCACTCGAAGGAGGGAGAGGCTGTGCGAACGTGTTTCTTTTAAGTCTTTTTTTCCCTCTTTGCAACGACTTATTTGCAACGGATGTGTGATCTTGGTTGTGCGTTTTGTTGTTCCTGCGGCTTGTAAACCGCCTTGTGGGCAATATAGGAAGGCGGCATACAAATTAAAAGTGAAATGAGGGGTGGGAATGCAATGAGGGTCTCTTTCAAGGCTGCGCTGGCAGCTGGCGAACGTTCCCTTCTTCTATCACTCTTTGACTCCAGAGAACTCTTATTAGGAACTTTAAAAAAATGGAGGAGATGTTTCTGAACATACTTATCCGTTCAGAAAGCATATCAAAAAATGCAACAGTGTATTTTGAATTATTTTAGTGGACCAGATGATAACAGCTGTATCTCCTGGTTTTTCCACAAACTAGCCCCTTTTACTATGTGTGTAGGTTTGTCACAATAGCTTCCAAGCTGCAATGCAGCAAGCTTCCTTGGCTGTTTGACCTCTTTGACAACAGTGGGAAACAGAATATAGAGCTGGATTTTTGAAAAGCATTTATTTTTCCCTGTATGCTTTAATATAGCTAGAACAGCATTTACAGTGTTAAAAGTGTGGGAGGAAAATAATGAGATCTGTAACCCACGTGCAGGTAATTAACAAAAGAATATAAAGTCTCATCCACTGCTCCCCCTTCCCCGGAAACCTGCTGTTTACCACTTAATTGGAACAACATTAAACAGTTTTTCTGCAGATTGCCATTTGTTCTGATTCAGCGGTAAACAGTAGGTTTTCCCAGGGGAAATGGTGGGACAAACAAAAAACTTGGACTTGTGCCTAGAAAGCATGGGACAAGCGCAAGTGTGGACAAGCCCTAACAGCAAAAGAGGGGTAGCACAAAGAATCAACAAAAAACAGAAGGCTGATATCAAAACCAGAGAAACAAAGGGATACAGGGATATAAGGTTAGAAATATAAAAGAGGACTAAGATGACAGAGATTGGAAAGTAACAATTGGGAGTTGCTAGTTGAACTATGCACATTGGGATGCAGAGAGGGGGGGTATGGGGAAGTCAAAGGAAAGAGGTTTATGAAAATATGTTTGAAACTATACGTGTATGTTTGTCATTCCTGGTGTTTGTTTGTTTTTCTTAAAAAGTTTCTAAAACCAATAAAAATTTTATAAAAAAAAAAAAAAAGATATCAAAACCAGAACTCCAAATAGTACTCATCTATTGTCTGTATACTGCCCAACACACTTCAATAACAACCTTCATTAAGGACAAATTCCATATTGTGCAGTGCAATCCCGTGCATTTTTACTGTGTGGAGTGACCAAGTATGTTAGGCATTGCAGCTTTTTCTGGTATCTCAGCGGAACAGACTACAGATTAAGAGTGTGAAACACCTGTAGTAAGTCAGCTACAGTCCTCGTTATAATGTGCTGCAAGCATAAAGAATGTTACTGAACCACATGGGGCAATTTGAGTGTTACAATAGTGAGTGCATTTGCCTATCAAATAAAGCTCACTCCAGTCTTATGGCTACTTATTGTGTTCATGGGAAATGTGAAATTTGAACCTGGTACTTTTCTTGTTCTTGTCTCTTAGCTACTATGTACAATCTCTCCTATGAAATCCTGCAGCCCCAGCCGGCATGGTCTGGAATGGCAGGAGTTGTAGTGCAGCAACTTATGGAGGACCCCTGGTTCCCCAGCCGTGGTCTGTATTCAAAAAATTAAATATCAAACCAACTGGGGGTGTTTCTATAGCTAGCATTGTTTAATATTTCTGAACTGAAATTTAACAACGCAGTGAATTTGGCCAGGGATCTGCAGAAAAGTAAATTGCATCTTGTTGGACATTTGAGAGGCCTAGCTGGTGACATTTGCTTACAGACATTGGAAAGCAAAGCTGCCAGCAGAACAATGAAAGGTGAGCAAGCAAAGTGTTTTGATAAACAGATGAGATTCACCACCAAATGTAGCACAAAAGGATTATCTAACCACAAAGACATTTACAAAGGATCATATAAAATGAGTATCTGTATTTGCCAACCTCCCATTGTGCAGAAGTCAAAAGGAAAAGATGGAAAACGGGAGGCCAGATTGTCAGGACTACCAAATCCAGGTCAAACCTGTATAGCTTACAGCAAAACCTGGAGCTAGAAGAACAGGTAGGAACAGGAAGCAGAGACTGAAATAAGCAAAGCTCAAGCCAGGCTGCATAGCAATTGTTTTACACAGATAATTTTATTCCTCCTTTTAAGGATGTTGCGTAAACAGGAATATTCATTCAAGCATAGTGCTATACCATAGCATAACATCACAACAATGAACCTAGACACCCTCCAGGTTCCTGTGTTTTTCCACCTCCCACTCTTTATCTCCTGTGGCCGCAAGGAGGAGTCCATAAATACTCACTTCCATTTCCAATTAACCGCAAAATGCCATGTCATCCAGAGCTGGTCAAACTGGCTAATTTAACCATTGTTAGTGGAAACAAGCCAGTTTCTAACAATAGATTATGAAGTTGGTTGGTTTTCACTAACCATAGTGAATATTAACTCCAATTTAGGGATCAGATGACTTGCTAAACTGCTGTCAATTTAAAATTCCCTCCGTTACAGCCATACTGGGGGAGGAAGAGGAGAGTGCACAAGCTCAACAAGGGGGTAGGCTCATTTTTGCAATGATAAAGGTGAGTCTTCTGTCTGGTTTAGTCTTCTGTCCAAACAATGTCCTTGAAAGGGAACTTCTGTGAACAATCAGAATAGGTTTTCAGAACCAAAGCTGGAGCAGGAGGTCTTCCATGGACAAAAGGTATGTGATTATAGTCCTGACTTCAGAATGCATCACTGTCACCTTGCTAAAGTAATATATGGTGAGGTAGAAAGGAAGAAAGCATGCTGCCTCCCAGGGCCGTCAACTCTTAGCTTTCTTTAAAATAGAATAAAAAGTTCAATCAGAAAATTGAGAAGAAAGTTAAGAGCACAAAATGTGGAAGCAGCTCCAAGACTTCAATACTTGGCAGCCTGCAACATTGCTAAGGATGTTTATTCACTGTTTCTAAGCAATAAATGTAAAACCAGAAAGTGAGAGTGAAAAGGATAGACAGGTGGCATGAATAATAGTCCAGGGAGAAAATGTGGGTTATCTATGAAAAGACATTCCGTATCATTTAATTTGCTCCACTGAAATTGACAATTGATTTGCCTGACCTTTTTCCCCCAATTTCTCCAAAGTACAGAGAGAGTGAGAGAGAGGAGGAAATTGGCATCAATGAAATTGACAAGACTTTTCCTTGACCTTGTCACCTTCCCAGCAGGGGTGGATGACGGAAATGGCAGTGGGGCATGCAGTGCAGAAGAAAAGCGAGCGAGGCATTGTTCAAGCTGTCTCCAACCACAGCATGATGGAATTGCATCCATGGCCGCTGAGGCAGTATCCAAGGTGGGTAAGTCATGAATGCTTTCTCCCACATAGCTAGAGGGGTGGTTGTAGCAGTGAACACGAGAAGAACTCATGAGCTGCAATGATGGCATTACCTGAAGTGGAGGAAGAACGTTTGAGCACTCATTGAAGTGAATGAAAATGTGAGTGTGACTTCTACCTAAGTCGGCTGCTTTGGTTTCAGGGCCCTCACTAAACAGCAGCTCCAAAGCTGCTAGAAGTTGTGCAGAGTTCTCTGGAATTGCATGTGATCAGCAGATGGCACTCTAACTACACTAAACCTAAAGCTTCCTTTGTCGTAGCTGTTGTCAGCTAGGTCAAATTGCATGTTGCCTAAGTATGGTGCATCTAGGTTGTACAGGGAAGAATATTATCCTTTCCAATAGATTTAGGAGAGGAGCAAACGGTTCCACCTAGACAGGTTTGGATGACACACGTTTCACTATAATAATAATAATAATAATTTATTATTTATACCCTACCCATCTGGCTGGGTTTACCCAGCCACTCTGGGCGGCTTCCAACAAAATATTAAAATACAATAGTATAGAAAGAAAAGACAGAGTAGCTCTTTGTAAGCCCTCTAGAAACACCTGTAACTAGGTGAAACAGAGTCAATGGAAACATCACTCTTTTTGGCATAGGTGAGCAGTGGTTTTTTCATCCCTGATAAAACAATTTGTAAAATCAGCTTTCATTCATATACCCTTAAACAGTGCTTTTTTTCTAAAAAAAATTGTTTAGGGGTACTCTTACTTTGACTCAAGAAAATCACCATTTTATAGTTCAAATTGGGAAAAATACAGTAAAGGGACAAAAATACAAAAATTCACAAAATGTTTAGGGGTATCCGTACTCCTCTCCTGCCAGCTTAGCAGTTCGAAAGTATGTCAAAGTGCAGGTAGATAAATAGGTACCATTCCAGCGGGAAAGTAAACGGCGTTTCCGTGCGCTGCTCTAGTTCGCCAGAAGTGGCTTAGTCATGCTGGCCACATGACCCGAAAGCTGTAAGCTGGCTCCCTCAGCCAATAAAGCGAGATGAGCGCCGCAACCCCAGAGTCGGCCACGACTGGACCTAATGGTCAGTGGTCCCTTTACCTTTACGTTTAACCTACAGCTTTCTAAGATTCAGTTGTTTTGAGTTGGTCAGTTTGTTGG